GCATCACAAGGGCACATCTGAATATTCTTAATGTTATGAGGCTTTCTGCCTCTACTACTGTACAGACAGTGAGCTCCAGATTCCCACCACCGTCTGGGTGAAAACATTTTCCCTCTTATCTCCAATGAAAATCACAGGAGGATCACTCCTATAAAGAGTAATCAGAGATTAGGCACTCTAAAATAGTGAACACAACCTTAAAAATAACTAGACTCTTCTCAGAGTTCAAGTTGTAACCTGCAACTTAAACTCAAGCTCTTCCTAACAAGTTTGAAAAGCCTTATAAGCCAGAGCTTGGGTTGAAGTACAGGTCAGCCATGATATAATTAAATAATAGAATAGACTTCTGTAGATAGAATATGCTGAATGGCCTCCTCCTATTCTACATCAATGTGCATCTTTCTTTATTGCCAGTAGTGGAAACAAACAAAATAGCTTTCTGTGTACAGGCTAAAACTATTTGGCCAATGTACTTACAGATGAAATAAGACACAGAAGCAAGGTACGGAAGTAGCACAAAATCAATCTTATCTAATTTATGAATTATTTGAAGACCAGAGACAGTTTAAAATCAGTAAAATTTTGTTCAGTAAGTTCATAAAAATAAAATTGTTTTGTGGAAAATTATAGTAAATTTTATGGACATATCACTAGCAAAACTTATAGGAGATTTGAAATAGGTAGATAGTTTGCGGATTATAAAATCTCTTTCCTGGGAGACATTTACTGCTATTTTCTGTAATCAACGATCCAGTCAACCATTCATGCTGCCATTTTACCGTTAAAAAGTGGTCACATACTATGAAGTATATTATTGAACTCTGACAATTCAATGACAGCTAGGATACAATTTTTTTTTTAGTACACAAAGGTTTTCAAAACTTGTTTGATAATGGATTGGTAGGAGTGAGTTACAAGTCAGTTACACAATTGAAATATTCAGGAAAATGCTATAAACCACCAAAGCAAACCTTGGGCAGCTTATAAATGTCACATCAACCTTGAAGTTGTGTATCACATAACTCACCCTATTCTACATGTTGTTTCTTTTAAAATAATTTATATTTTAAAGTTTTAAGGGTTATTGACTCTAATTATACAGAGTTATTTGAAGCAGAAATAAGAAATGTTGATAAACACAACGGGTCAAACAGTATTAATAAAAAGAACTGACAGGTTAACATTTGGTTTTATGTGCTCTGTCAGATCATTGCAGTTATTTGTACTTCTTGGTCTCCTCAGGGTTCGTGTTACGACATCACTGAATGCTAAATAGTTTGTTCGAATTTATGTAGAGTATCAAATTCAGTGGGATTCAAACTCAGCTCCCCATAACATGCGTAAACAAGTTAAATAAACATAATTGGTGAAAAACATTATCATAAAGTCATAGAGATACACAGCACAGAAGCATATCCATGCCGATTAGATACCCTATATAAATCTAGTCCCATTTGCCAGCATTTGGCCCATATCCCTCTAAACCCTTCCTATTCATATACCCATCCAGATGCCTTTTAAATGTTGTAATCGTACCAGCCGCCACCACTTCTTCTGGCAGCTCATTCCATATACGCACCACCCTCTGCATGATAAAGTTGCCTCTTAGGTCCCTTTTATATCCTTCTCCTCTCACTTTAAACTTATGTCCTCTAGCTTTGGACTCCCACACCCCAAGGAAAAGACCTTGTCTATTTACACTCTCCATGCCCCTCACGATTTTGTAAACCTCTATAAGGTCACCCCTCAGCCGCCAATGCTCTAGCCTATTCAGCCTCTCCCTATAACTTAAGCCCTCTAACCCTGGCAACATCCTTGTAAATCTTTTCTGAACACCTTCTAGTTTCATTACATCCTTCCTATAGGAGGGAGACCAGAATTACAGGCAACACTCCAAAAGTGGTCAAACCAATGTCCTGTACAGCTGCAACATGACCTACCAACTCTTGTACTCAATGCACTGATGAATAAAGGCAAACATATCCAACACTTTCTTTACTATCCTGTCTACCTGTGACTCAACTTTCAGGGAACTATGAACCTGCATTCTAAGGTCTCTTTGTTCAGCAGCACTCCCTAGGACCTTACCATTAAGTGTATAAATCCTTCCCTGATTTGCCATTCCAAAATGCAGTACCTCACATTTATCTAAATTAAACACCATTTGTCACTCCTGGGCCCACTGGCCATCTGATCACGATCCCTTTGTACTCTGAGGTAACCTTCTTCGCTGTCCACTACACCTCCAATTCTAGTGTCATCTGCAAACTTACTAACCATACCTCCTATGTTCACATCCAAACCATTTATATAAATGACAGAAAGCAGTGGACCTAGCATGATCCTTGCGGCACACTGCTGGCTACAGGCCTCCAGTTTGAAAAGCAACCCTCCACCACCCACCCTCTACCCTCTACCTTTGAGCCAGTTCTGTATCCAAATGATTAGTCCTCCATATATTCCCTGCGATCTAACCTTGCTAACTAGTTTACCAAGAGGGATCTTGTCAAACGCCTTACTGATGTCCATATAGGTCACATCCACCGTTCTGCCCTCGTCAATCCTCTTCGTTACTGCTTCAAAAAACTCAGTCAAGTTAGTGGGACACGATTTTCCATGCACAAAGCCATGTTGACTATCCGTAATCAGTCCTTGCCTTTCCAAATACATGTAAATCCTGACCCTCAGGATTCCCCCCACTAACTTGCCCACCACTGATGTCAGGATGAAGTTTGTTTTCTCTGAATGAGATACCCTACCATTTGCTGGATTACTTGATCAAAAGTTGTTGACATATACTTCCAGCCATGAAAGAAGAAGGACAAGTACTAAACAATCCATTTATGTGATGGGGTGGGGATAGTCTTCATTTGTGGACCATTGCTGATTGCTTTGAACCACAATCCTTCAGAGACAGGTTCTGCCTCAAGTGACCCACAAGAAGCTGCTGTTTGACATTGTGATTTTTTTTTAGCATTGACACATGTTGCCAAGCTGATGTAACCACTGGTTATCATAATAGGGCATGTCAGCCCACATGAGATGTTGTTATTTCTGTCTTTCACCAACTAGTGACTCCTAATTAGACCATAAGACCGGAATACATAGGAGCAGAAATTAGGTCATTCGGCCCATCGAGTCTGCTCTGCCATTCAATCATGGCTGGTAAGTTCCTCAACCCCATTCTCCTGCTTTCTCCCCATAACCCTTGATCTCCTTGATAATCAAGAACATATCTGTCTCAGTCTTAAATGTACTCAATGACCTGGCCTCCACAGTCTTCTGTGACAGTGAATTCCATAGAGTCACCACTCTCTGGTTGAAGAAGTTTCTCCTTATCTCTGTTCTAATAGGTTTTCCCTTTACTTTAAGGCTGTGCCCTCGGGTCCTAGCCTCTCCTGCAAATGAAAACATCTTCCCGACATCCACTCTGTCCAGGCCATTCAGTATTCTGTAAATTTCAACTAGATCCCCCCTCATCCTTCCAAACTCCAATGGGTATAGTCCCAGAGACCTCAAACGTTCCTCATATGTTCAGCTTTTCATTTCTGGGACCATTCTCGTGAACCTCCTCTGAACCCGCTCCAGGGCCAGTACATCCTTCCTGAAATATGGGGCCCAAAACTGCACACAATACTCCAAATATGGCCTGGCCAGAGCCTTATAAAGCGTCAGTAGTACATCCCTACTTTTATATACAAGTCCTGTCAAAATAAATGCCAGCATACCAGAGGTGAACTCTCATGGCAGGTAGTAGGGATGGCACTTTACTGTAAGATAGTCTAGGTCCGCAGAACTGTAGCTCGCTATGTCAGAGCACCAGAAGGTGTCTCACCGCCCCTCGCCCTGCCCGAGCACACCCACACCGAGTGGTCCATTTGGGAACTGAGAAACCCTCGGGTTATAAGGCACAGTCAGGTATAGCAGGAATGAGCCATGTCTCTGTGAAGCAGAGCACACAGCAGTCTCTCAATTCCCTTTGGTAGTTAAGTCTAGCTTTATGTTCATCCATTTTGTGCTCAATGGCTTGGACATTTGTCATGACTATGTTGGGGAGGGGGATCTTGAAACCCTGAAATTTCAGTTCACCTGAAGTCCAGCACGTCTCCCACATTTCCTGGGTAGGTGGCTGCTCCTGATCAATCCCAGGCCTCACTGAGGGAAGTCTGCTTCTCCGAAAGACAAGTGTGTGCTCCTGATGGGGTCTTGAGCACCACTCGCAGCCTTGAGCATTCCAGGGGGTCTTGTAGCCGGTTCAGACAGGCCTGCAAGAGGTCGGAAGGCCTCTGGGCTTCTGGTTCTAGTATCAGCAAGGTAAGTGGGTGCATCCGTTGGGGTCCTGGGCATCAGTCTCATTCATGAATGCTCCAGGGGATCTTGCATTTGGTTTGCTCAGGCCTCCTCGGGTCACTGTGGCACCTGGTCTTGCTTTCGCTCTGGTCTTGCCTCGGTTCCAGGTTTCAACAGGAAGGTTGGGATTGCAGTCCCAATGGCGGTAATCGAGCCTCATTTGTCATAGAATCTTTAAACCTTAAAGTAGATTTAAGAAAATACTGTTAATAATTCTGATAGACCTGGAATTGAGGTTTAGAAGAGCAGAACGATTATAAGATATGTAAGAATAAGATCTGCTGTAGACAACTCGCAAAATGTCACCACACTCCGGCACCATCTTGAAAGTGTGCTGCTTTGGCCAGGATGGCATTGAGATCCTTGTGTATTGTTAGAATTGTACTCATCCAGGCAAGTGGAGAGTAGTCCAGCTTCTGAGTTGTGCCTTGTAGATGGTGTACAGCGTTTGTTAAGTTCAGGATTTGACTCACTCCTTGCAGAATACATAACTTCAGACGTACTGAACAGCAACAGTCTATATGTGACTTAAAGTTTTTGGTCAGTGATGGTCCCAAGATACTGATGGAGAGTTTGATGATGGTTGTGCTGTTGAATCTCAAAGGGAAGTAGTTAGGCTCTTTCTTGTTGGAGAAGATCATTGCCTGCATATGTGGTGCTGGCATTAATGTTGCTTGATGCCTATCAACCCGAGACTGAACATTGTCCTGCTGCAAACTGGCACAGATTATTTTATTAAAAACCGAAAGAACTGCGAAAACAGTTGCTGGAAAAGCTCAGCAGGTCTGACAGCATCTGTGAAGGAGAAAACAGAGTTAGCGTTTCGGGTCCGGTGTCACCAGACCCGAAATGTTAACACAGGTTACTTTACTGTCTGGGGAGTTTCTAATGGAACTAAACAGTGTGCATTCATCAGTGAGCGTCCTCACTTTTGGCCTTTACATGAAGTTAAGGTCATTAAGAAATAACTAGAACACTGCCCTGAGGACAAGAGCTCATGTGGCACAGTAACAGTGTTCTGACCTCTGAACCAGGACATGTTGGTTCAAGTCCTACCTGCTCCAGAGGTGTCTAATAACATCTCTGAACAGGTTGATTCGAAAATATGTGTCCTGAGTAACATCTTGTTTGATGTCCTGCAGCTGAAAAGATTGATTTCTGTCAATTTTGATAGCTTTCCTTTGTGGTTTTTATGACTCCAGCCAGCGGGGAGTTTCCCTCAACTCCAAATGACTTTAGTTTTTCTAGGCTCTTAAGATATGTTCATGTTAACCAAGTTTAAAGGAAGATATTTACTGATCCCTGAGGCATATTCTGTCACCTGGAACACAGTATGCTGAAGGATCTAATTATTACATAATATTTTGAATTGTGTTTGCATGTGGTCTCTTGTTGAAATGTCAATAATAAGGGATTTTGAACCTTGGTTCAAATCCAGTTTTACCACATCTATAATTATGACTCCTTCGTTGACAACAGCAGGTTCCTTCAATAAAGAGCAATGAATGGAAAGACATCCATTTAATTGTAGTTCATGGGTTAAATCAATAATATTTTCCATCACCATAGACTGATGTACATTTGAGATAAAACTAGCATTTGGAGTTGCCGAAGATTGAATCATAATAATTGAGTTCTTTACCGGATGTGTCTTGGCGCATGTTTAAACAAGAAAGTGCTGAGCTATAAACTTTCATGATTTGACCTCATTTGATCCCCTAGTATTCAATGACCACAAATTGACCTTCCTCTCCTATTACTTAGGGTCATGTGCAAGACTTGACTAAACCTACTAATGTGGATTAATCAAACAGTGTTGCATATTCAGAACCCACTTTTGAAAGATTGAATGAGAATGAATTTAGCTGCGGTCTTTGGTTCAAAATGGATTTATCTTGAAATGCTAATTGATGAAGTTACCGGAAAAAGAGCCACAAATTGGGAAAACTGGCCTATGCAACCAGATTTTCTTTATGTACATATGATGGAAGCCTCTTTGGAAGCATTGGGAGTACATATAAAAACCTCGGGAGCCAGATTTTCCAGTTTTTGTGGTTGCAAATCATGCACCTAGCATGCAGTCAGGGTAATTTATTGTTTACATTGTGATGATACAATGGCTTTAAGAGGTATATTTTGTCCTTTTTTTAATAAAGAAAGGTTGAGACAGAGGCAATAAGCAGACTGCTCAAAGCTAATAATGGAAACAGTTTGGGAGGCCTTGCGTTTTTTTTAAAAAGTTGGAACAATAGAAGCAGCTAGAATGGGTGGGATCAAACTCTCACAGAACCAGGATTTTTAGTTTTAGCTTTTAACAGTTGCTTGAAGCTGGACGTGGAAGCTCTTATTCCTCTCTCTGTTACAATGCCACTCTGTTGGAACAGTTAACTAGTAGTAGTTTATATATTATTTTGTTAAGCATTTCAATAGAGTTATAGTCAAGCCAATTCTTTTATTTTTATTTTTTCTGCATTTTAACTTTAGTGAAAAAATAGTGTGTTTTGCTTAAAGTCAAGTAGTTTGACCAATCGAATTGCATCTGGAATGCAACGCCTTACACTTTAAAATAAGCAAAGATGAGGGTCTCGGCTCTCAATATATTTTGAGGGGGGTGGACTTTATCTGGTCCATAACAATATCGTGTGGCGACACACAATCCATATATAGTTACAATGCATAGGTACAAAACCTATCTGCCTCACAGATAATGCTCAGCACGCCAATCATTATAAAATATGTTAACTGTTATTATAAGCTTGTTGACAACCCCACAGTAAAAAAAATTGTGGGCAATTGATTATTAAGTTCATAATATGCAATCAAAAAGCACAACAACATTCCTTCTAAGGTGCATGCATGTACTTTATAGGTGCTCACAAGTCATTCTATGTATGGTAATATACGTACAACAGTGCCTTCACAAAAAAGTTGAAAGGATAGAGTTCATTGAAGATCTAATGCACAGCAATTAAATTTATATACTATATGCGTATTTCCTATTAAATAGCAACCTGTATACGAAACAGTACTTCCAAAGGTCTAATGTTTCAACCAACCAGGTTGACAAGAGTTCGAATGAAGATAAGATGCATTAGGAAATAGGAATAAAGAAATACAAAACTTTGGCTTTTAAAACTCGTTGGATGTAGACAGTAATAGAGAATAAGAAGAAAAAATAGTTCTACTGTTTTAAGACTATTGATTTTCAAATACTGTTGATGGTTACAAGGAAACAAATGTGGATTATTTGAAGCTTTGAAGAAACAAGAGAAGAAAAGTCAGGACACTGACTATTGTATCAGTTGAATAGGAATAACAAGGAAAAGACGAATCTTGACAAATGGCAATCTTTTGTAAGAGAAATACGCCTCATGTGGTGCAGTGATAGTGTACCTACTCCTGAAACAGGTTTCAAGTCCCATGTACTTCAGAGATGTGTAATAACATCTCTGAACAGGTTGATGAGAAAAAAATAGGTACAGCCATACCAGGCCATGAAATATAACTTGCTTTAAGGGATCTTTTATTTAGGAGAGCAAAGATTACACATTTCTCAATAAATTACACTTCATGTTAATCAACTGGATGTATGCATATTAAGTCTCCATGGTTATCTCCTACTTAAATAACATTGTTGAGACTCAATCATTATCGCTAACTGTGAGATAGGCGGCACAAACTTGGCAATCAATGGTGTTTGCTGTATGTGTGAAGCAAGAGGTCTTTGAATTGATAATAATAGCTCTTGGAACATCACTTACATATTAAGGGAATGTTGCCAAACTTACTGTGCTTCCATAGGGTGCCTTCCATAAGACCATAAGATATAGGAGCTGAATTTGGCCATTTGGCCCATCAAGTCTGCTCTGCCATTCTATCATAGTTGATACGTTTCTCAAACCTATTCTCTTGCCTTCTCCCCATAACCCTTGATATCCTTACTAATCAAGAATCTGTCTATTTCTGTCTGAAATACACTCAATGACTTAGCCTCTACAGCCCTCTGCAGCACTGAGTTCCACAGATTCACCACCCTCTGGCTGAAAAAAGTCCTCCTCATCTCAATTCTAAAGGGCCATTCCTTCACTCTGAGGCTGTGCCCTTGGGTCCTAGTCTGTCACATAGTGGAAACATCTTCATACCCACTCTATCTAAGCCTCTCAGTATTCTGTAAGTTTCAATCAGATCCCCCCCTTATCCTTCTAAACACCATCAGAACAGACCCAGAGACCTCAACCGCTCCTCATATGACAATTCCTTACATATGGGGCCCAGAATTGCTCTCAATATTCCAAATGCAGTCTGACCAGAGCCCTTTACAGCCTCAGCAACACATCTCTGCTCTAGTATTCTGGCCCTCTTGAAATGAATGCTAACATATCACTTGCCTTCCTAACAACTAACTGAACCAGCATATTAACCTTAAGAGAATCCTGAATTAGGACTCCCAAGTCCCTTTATGCTTTAGATTTCTGAAGTCTTTCCCAGTTTGGAAAATGGTCTACCTCTCCATTCTCCCTGCCAAAGTGCAAACTTCACACTTTTCCACATTGTATTTCATTTGCCACTTCTTTGCCCACTCTCCTCATCTGTCCAAATCATTCGTCAGCCTCCCCTTGATGAAGCCGTGCTGACTTTGCCCTATTTTACCGTGCACTTCCAATTACACCGCAAGCTCATCCTTTATAATGAACTTGAAAATGTTACCAACAACCAAGGTCAGGCTAACTGGCCTGGAGTTTCCTGTCTTCTGCTTCCCTCCTTTCTTAAACAGGGTTCTTACATCAGCCAATTTCCAGTCCCATGGGATTCTTCCTGACTCTGGTGATTCCTGAAAGATCACCACCAATACCTCTACAGTCTCCACAGCTATGTCCTTCAGAAAACTGGGTGTAGTCTGTCTGATCCAGGTGACGTATCCACCTTCAGACCTTTCAGCTTGCCCAGCACCTTCTCCTTAGTGATGCCACTACACTCA